TAAAAAAAATATTTTCCTTTAATTAATAATTTTCATGTAAAACAAGGCCAAACGAACACTAAAAGGTAGATGCTTTTTTATTTATTTTGGCAATGGGAACAAATTTCATCTATAATACCAGTAAATTCTATCCCTTTAATTGACAATTTTCATGTAAAATAAAATCAAACAAATACCAAAAATCACTTTTATTTCAACATTTTTTATGTGAAAAATTATACCAATAAAATACAATAATTTACAATTCTTGGTAAAACAATTTCTAGACAATTCAATTCCCTAAAATTCATTTTTTAGGCAATTCAATTCTATCTTTGTAATCAAACAGACCTTTATATTTTTTTCTTTTCAATTCAATTGAAAGTTACATGTGACTTTAATGTACACATTAATGTTTAGATCACTTGGACAGGAACCTAAAACTTCATTTTTAAAGATTGAGGACTCAAAACTATATAGCCTGAAAAGTTAAGGAGCTCAACACTAATGTTTCCTATTATTAAGCTTAACAATTCTACTCCCAAAGGAGGCTCATTTATAGGCCAAGTAGGCGTGGCAATTGAGCTGAGCAGATAGTCGGATTGGCTCGTCAAAATCGGGCTCTGGGTTGCTCGGGCTCGTAAAATAATGAGATCGACCCTGAGCAGAGCTCGACCGATCATTTGGCAAGCCGAACCAGCTTGACTTGCCAAATGGGAGGTGCTCGTTGGCGAGCCCACAAGCCGGGCTCGTGGATCGTGTTGCAACAATGATCGAAAACGATCACTTCAAAATGGCGACAAAAATATTTGTTCCCAAATTTAATTTTTTTTTTTTTGTAAATACCTATAGACCCCCATTTTCATTTTCACAACAAATACATAATCTCTCTCAACTCGCAATTACATAACCTCTCTCTACTCTCAATTACATTTACATAATCTCTCTCTCAAGTCTTAATCCTACATTTATTTGGCTAAAATTATACAATAATTCTCTCTCAAGTCTATATTTATTTTTGCTACATTTATACTTTTACTATTTTACATTCATACTTACTAGTTACTACATTTCGATTTTATCACAAACAAATGGAGTCACACTCATTTGTCGAGGGCTTGTTCAGTATGGGAGAAGGCGAATCGACTATGATGCTGCAAAGTCAATTTCGAAATGAATTTTTGGTCTAAATGACGTACCTTTATCTGAAGATATTATTTGGGTTTTCATAGAAGCAATAATTCAATTTATTTGGATGATGTTAACATTCCCGAACCAGAACATGAAGAGGAAAAAGTAGATGAATTAAAATTCCCAACACGAGGGGAAAGCGATAGGAAAAAAAATGCAAAATGTTGGGATCACTTCAATTTGATTTTAACGGAAAAATTCATCAATGTAGTCGTCGAATCTAAAGTGGCAAAAAAGAATTGGTACCACCTACCTCAATTGCCACTACAAAGATGTGCAGCTAAACATGAACTTTTTCTAGTCGGTCAAACACAATTGCAATTTGGCAGTCCAGGAACTGGTTCTACGACTTTGCCCATGTCCACGTAGGTGTATTCGGTAAGACAAAGCTCGAACCGGAATGGTGAAATTTGTTACTGGTGCTGAGTTACCTCTGGCAATAGCGGACAACCAACGCTTCGTCTCGTACATAAAAGAATATCTGCAACCAAAGTACGTTAGGATAAGTCAAAATACTCTATGTTCAGATACAATACAATATTTCATTGATTCAGAACAACAATAAATTATGGATTTGCAAAATATGAGGGCGTTATATCTTTAACTTCGAAAATATGGGAATGGATTAATAAAAGAGCGTATAGAGCTACAACTGCACACTACATAGAACTTCGTTGGTATAAGCATAAAAAAATTATTGCTTTTAGAAATGTTGATTTTCTTCACAACCTAATAATATATATAATGCTATTATGAGTGTTGCTAGAGAATATTGTTGCGGGAGTAAAATTGGTTCTTTTACTTTCGATAATGCTAGTGCTAATAAAGTAGTTGTCGATAAATTGTGTAAGGTACTACAACCTGATTTCGGTTGGTATTTATTTCATATTCATTGTGTGTGCCACATTTTGAATTTAATTGTGCAAGATGATTTAAAACATATAAAGGATGAACTTTAAAGGATTAGGAATGTACTAATATATATCACGATCTTCCCTAGTCGAAAACAAGCATTTGATGATTATTGTAGCGAAGTTGGGATGACGAATGCTAGAACATTTGTTAGCGACGTATGCCATAGATTGAACTCTACTTACTCATTATTAAAGTCATGCGAATGTTTTGAGCATTAAATAACTGATTTTTATCACAATAGGCACATTAGAAACGATGATGACTCTATGTTAAATGAATTTGATTGGCTTTTAGCTCTGAAGTTAAAAAAATATTTGACATCTTTTTATGACTCTACAAATAATTTATCTGACGTTTACTATCCCACTAGTTGTATGTTGCTTGAACGCATTTATATAATTACAAGAACATTTCATAACTATAAAAATGACTATGATTTTAGTGCAATTATATATGCTATGGAATTAAAGTTTAAAAAAATATTGGGAAGACTTGTCTATGTTATTTCCTTTAGCATGTGTAATGAACCCCCGATATAATTTATCGGGAACTAAATATGTAATTGATCAAATTTCAAAAGCCTTAACTTTTAATACACCTAGCATCTATAGGAATTTAGAGGAAATATTATATGAATTATATGCAGAACAAATGGGTACAAATGTTAGTTGGGTGTCTTCTGCACCTACTCCTTACACTGATATTGAAGAAGATGACGTCAAAATATTAAATTTATTTGAAGGCATTAATACATATAGATATGATGCAACTGTAATAGGTTTATCTAGTGCTATGTCGTCTACATTTGCATATCATCAAACATCGGACGCAAGTCCAAATGCATCGCATACTGAAGTAATTGATTATTTCAATCATAATATGCCAACAAATAAAACAATTAAAAAAGTTTAGCAGAAATAATTGAATTTCAGCGAAGGTATGAATGAAGATGGCCTGCTTCTACAATTGCACATCTCCGGTTAACACTATTGTTTTGGAGTCTGCTTTTAGTGCAGGTAACAGGATTTTGTCCAAGGGCAGGAGCCAGCTAAAAGAAGATATTTTGGAAGCATTAATATGCATGAAAGATTGTCAGGACGCTTATTTCCAACTACTAAATATGCCGAACTTGCTTGTCGTCAAGTAAGTAATATTTAATTAAATCATATTAATAAAAATTTCTTATTTTCTAATCGTTACTTTTAATTTTCTTTAAAAATTTGTACACATTACAATTTTTTGTGTACAATTTTTAATTTCGCCTACTCAAAATTTACGCAGCTAGTCCCAAGTTCGGAAAAAAGAGGAGGTTTTATATTTTATTTTTATCTATTTAATAAAAAAATTGGAAAATCAACAAGCTTAGAAGTCGAGCCCGCCCTTGATGTCACTAACGAGCTGTGTTTTTAAGGGCCGAGTCAAGCCACTGCTAAGGCCAAGAGCTTGGAAAATATCCACTGCAAATACCTTAATATTAATATTAAAACGGAAAAAACTCATAACTACAACACTTTAAAAATATAATTTCAAAAATATCAAACTCATAATTCACTTTTAAAAATCAAGTTATAATTCATGTTTGTCTTTTCGAAAAATTATATATGTATGGATTTTTATTAGAAAATACTGTGAATTAAATTATGGGTATTATAGGATAATTGAGGATATTTGTCTCACCTTATCACTTCCAAAAACAAAGTAAATCAGTTATTTCTCCACATTACAACAAAATCAACCTTTTACAATGTTCAAAAAATGTTACTGAAGATCTTTTGGAACATTCAAAAGTATGTTGTAAACGATTTTGTCATAGAGTTGAGAGATATGTCAATATTTTTTGAATTTTGCTAATAACCTTTTTCAATAACTTTATTACACCGCTCTTGAATCTTGCTAATAACCTTTTTGCAATTTTTTTTTTAATGTTGCTAATAGTCTGTTTGCAAAAATTTTCGAATGCTGTCAATAAATTTTTTGCAATGCCTTTCATATGTTGCTAATAACCTTTCTGCAACATATTTTGAATATTGTTTATGCTTATATTCTTATTTTTCACAACATTTTTTAACTGTTGCCATATGTCATTTTACTTTTCTTTTCCTTTTTTGCATTCTCTTTATACAACAATTTCAAATTAACCAACAAAATTAAAAATATTTTTTTGGGAATAATGAAATTAATAATAACTTCATTAATTCATACAAAATAAGCACAGAACATTTCAATAGATCTAAGAAAATTCTTGATTTGCCTTAAATAAACATAGAACATAAAATAAACATAATATTCATTAGAAAGTCGATTTTCCGCAGAAAGAGTACAATATATAAAGGACTATAACTTTTACAAGTATTGCCCTTGTAAAGAACTTATCCCATTCACTGGGAGCTTGACGAAACATGTGTAAAAACAATACCTGACTACATCTTAACTAAAAATGCTTCAAACTTACCATCATGTAAGCATTGTGTTCACAGATTCGATGGTACAACAAATACACCCCAAGCAACATTGTGAACTGCGAAATACCATCTTTCCAAGCCAACTTATAGGCATAGATTTGAAGTTTTAGTCTGTGATAGAGTACTTAAGTATAAATCGAATTGATTCAACAAATGACACAATCAGTGAACCAAGTGTAATAGACATAAGAATACAATGTATAAGTCGCTTCATCAATGAGAAAACTGTAAGGGGATCTCAGACTACACTTACAAATAAAGCAAATCAATTACGAGAAAATATGTGATGAGAATATACAATTACTGTAGTAGGATTTGTATGAGAACCACGTTGTATAAAAATTCAAAGACCTATATTGACGTAGGATGCAATGAGACAATTATAGGAGGAGGAGGAGGAGGAGGAGGAGCAGCAGCAGCAGAAGAAGAAGAAGAAGAAGAGAGAGAGAAATATAAGGGAATAAAATATCAATTATTTTTATTCATTCAAATGTTCTCTTATTACATCGTCATAACCCTCAAAGTTTCAAAAATCATTATCGAGTAAAGAAATACTATAAAAGTTGTTAAATCACATTCTAATCATGTTCCCTAAGTTACAAATCAAAATAGGAAACTAAATAAATAATTGTCTCTTATAATATTGCATCATTTATCATCGGCTGAGAAAACTTGATTCCGGCGAGGTTGACTGGAACTTCATATTTTGAGGAAGTTTATCTTTTATTTTGACCAATTGTCTATATCGAGCCTTGAACCATATCCTAAGGTTGAACTCGGGCTAAGGAGGGCGATCTTTCTTGAGAATCAAATATTTGAACTGATTACTTGAGAACACCTAAAGCTGCAAACCCTCCCAACATCTATGATATGATCAAGGGCTACAGTTATTGCTTCTGAACAAATAGCAACATGGAACTCCAAAAAGCGAAATATATGCAACTCATCCACAAAATCTTCAATTGATTGTTCATAATGAGCACAAGGATCTAGCAAAGTAAAATGGCCTACAAAAACAAGTGTCTGCGACAATGGAGCTCAAATGTATCTCGATAAGATAACATCCTGCTATATTGAAAACAAAACCCTCATTTAAGTGCAATGGCCAATCATATAGAATAAGTTCAAGTGAGAAATTCAATCTTTTTTTTATATGTGTGGAAAAAAATTTTAAACGAACAATGACATTGGATAACGTGGAAACTCGAGAAGCATCACAAAGTGGAGGTAAAACCATATCAAAGTCAATGTTAGAGTCATACAATAGATTATGCAAGATCAACTTCAATAATCAAGGATAGCTGGACTGTTTGACTTAGGTGGCAACAATATAGATAATTCCTCATCCTCGGTGTCAAAATATTCAATTGACTCAACAATAGAAACATCAATATCTTCTTCAAGAGCAACACAACTAGACTCAAAAGGTGACTTTCGGGATTTGGGTGGTAGACCTGGCTTATGACACTTTTGATGAAGATGAAAGGATAAGTTCCATGGGTGGTCTATTGGTAAGCATCGTCTAGGGATTGGAATGCAAGAATATCAGCAGGAAAAATTCAGGACTTATAAACATGACAATTGTTCAATAACTCTTTGAAATAGACTAGATACTTACTAACAGTAAAGGTATCTTGCCTATAGTGCAAAATGAATTAATTTAGCGATTGAGTTTTATAGTATACCGGGCATATTTATTACTTAGAATTCATTTCATCTTATCCCGCAAAGTGATAGGACATTAATCTAGGTTATCAATGTAATGCAAAAATGACTTCCAATAACACATAACGGATCCTACAAATGCCCTATGAGCATGATAAAATAAAAAAACTAGTCAAGAGACTCGAGCCAATCAAGAAATGAATCGAGACCAATAAGACCATCAAAGTCCCATAATTGTAATCTAGATGGAGGATAATAGGCTATAATGCACTGATAAGAATATGTGTGTCCAACATGACACATGTCGAATACGTTGACAGACAATTTTTCAAAAAAGTATTGACGTGGCATGTCATCGACACATTAATTACATTATTAAAATTTATCATTTATATTGTATAAATTTAGTTTTATTCTCGTTATTAGTTTTTTATTTTTTTGAAATCTTTTAAATATGAGTACCTTTTTATTATTTATTAATAAATTTGAGTTAAAAATATATAAAAAAAAAGAAATATGATCATGGTAAAGTGTTCGAGGATTGTTAGACGCGGACACACTATCATAGTTAAAGTGTTCGTGCAACAGAGATAATAAGAATGATTAGGTAAAGGTACATGACCGTGATAGTTATTGAAAGATGTATTATACTGCATGAGTTCTCTCACACATTAAAATTGGTTTGACATGATATTTTTCATAAGAGATTTGATGGGCCACAAACGCCTAAATAGAAAGTAAAGATCTCAAATAACAAATTGATATACCTCGCAAGGTTTAAATTCGAGCGGCTGCTGATGCACACGTAAGTTTCCAAATCTGTAGCATAGACTGCTACCCCAACACATCTCTTCCAATTTCCCCAAAATCTCTGGTTAATGAGTTGTGTCCTAAAGTCTCAACAATTAAATGTGGAGGAATATGCCTGATTTCTCTATTCTAAGGGCTTGGTCAATTCCGAAAAGCTTCAAAATTCTGCGTTCTACTATTGTTCTTTGATAACGACTTTTGAGATTCACATCTACTGGGATGGTGTGAAGGCATGAGGTAGAGGTGGGGCAGTTGGAGTATTGAGTTAGTGGGAGACAGGGATTAAGTTGCGAGAGTTGTTTGATAGCGGTTCACAGTGGGAAGAACAAAGTATGTCCTTGGAGGTGATGGAAATAGTGTTTCGTGATCAGAGGCAGATCCAAAACATCATGTTGGGGGGCTGAAATTTAAAATGTATCTGCACAAATTTTTATAAAGCATACAACATAAAATTTCATTACGACATTACCTACTGAAGTTGTGTCTCTCGAGTTTTAACTGAAATAAATGAATGAAGTCATATTCAATTAGATGTAAAAAAAATAAAACATGAAAAACGTAAAATCATACTCACAAAACTATTATTCTAAGCCTAATCAAAATTTATACCATAAATAATCTAATCGGCTAACCCAGTAGATGTGAATCTCAATCTCAATCCTCAAACTGAAAAATGAAAACAATAATGCATAAAAGCAATAAGAGAATGATATGTCATTTCAACAAACACCTTGTCTACAAGATTAAAAAAAAAAAATGCACGAGTCTAAATAAATTGTATTTCAAAACTTTTGTGTCTTACCAACCAAAAACAGTAGATGTGAATCTCAATCTCAATCCTCAAACTGAAAAATGAAAACAATAATGCATAAAAGCAATAAGAGAATGATATGTCATTTCAACAAACACCTTGTCTACAAGATTAAAAAAAAAAAAATGCACGAGTCTAAATAAATTGTATTTCAAAACTTTTTGTGTCTTACCAACCAAAAATGCAAGCAAAGAAAAATTATGCTCAGTTAGATAATTAGATTTTAGCATGTAAGAATTCCAAAAAGCTCTCTTTCGAAAACTCCAAAATTCAAAAATCAGCATATAATCTTGGCCTGTTAGTGTACAATTTTACACTTTTACTTTGCCGTGTTCCCACAATTGACAATCACAATCCCACTAATTTATTAATTATTATACAAAATCTAGTCTTCTGTATCCATTTCTTGATTTCCATTCAATCGACAACTCGAAACTAGTTTGGGAAAATTCGAAAATGTTCCTATTGTGACTTATTCAAACAGTTTCTTGTTTCTATTTTACTTATAGAAATTCAACCCTATAATTTCATACAAAACACGGCATTTTGTTATTGTGCATAAAATGACAATACATCAATACCTCAAAAAAATTCTGTAGTGCGGTGGACGGCGAAGGATCGAAGATGAAGTGATAAACCGTGATGAATCGGAAATGATAATAGCTCAAGCTCACAACGAGGTTGCCACCAGTACCGTTTTCTTTCTGGCTTGTAGAATGCAGAGGCTTCAGGCTCTTCACTTGGGCATTTTTAGAATCAATTGGAAAAATGAGAATAGAGAAGTATGAATGTATGATTTGGTGGGCTAATCTTAAATTTACGCCTAGCTATAATGTTTTTTTTTTTTCCCAAGAAAAATTACACATAAAAATGTTATCCGGGCCAGGGCTCCATTGGGCTGTAGCCCAATAGTTCATATGGGAGAAAGTGTGGTGTCACTAATGATGGTGTGTTGGATTTGTTTTGTGTTTATGGCTTGGGAGAGATGGCAAAGAGTGGGATGCAGGTGGCCTGCCGATAGTAGACAATTGTGGTGGAAGAGTAGTAGAAAATTGTGTGTAGAGTAGCAATGAGACTTGCTAGTATTTTTCCAGTAGGAGGAGAATGAAGGTAATGGTGGGGATGTGTGTAGATGTGGGATGGAGCCGGCGGAGTTGATAGGTGTAGACGGTTGGAATCTTGAAGCTATTGGCGGCAATACTGCGTTGGAATGAAGATGGTGGTTACTGGACTTGAAAGAAATTTGGGCTTTGTGAGTTGTTATAGGCTACTAGGGAGTGGTTAAATGTGATATGGGATGGATATTGATTAGAGATGTCAACGAGTTAAGTCGAAACTTGAGACTCGAGCTCGGCTCAAGCGAAATTAAACGAGCTTTTTTCAAGTCTGAGCCGAGCCAAACAAAAGCTATCCAAAAAAAGGCTCGTCCCTAGCTTTAGGCTCGGGCCTTACCGAGTCGAGTCGAGCCGACTATTTTTTTTTTTTACGGATTTAACATTTTTTTAAAGAATTTAAAAATTGCATAGTTTATACGAGTTAAAAATTAAATAAAAATTACAACTTATAAAATTTCATAATTTATACGAATTACAAATTAAATAAAAATTACAACTTACAACCCTTCTCCTTTTTTTCGGGTTTGAACCGGCTACATGACGTAGGCGGAGTTAAAACTGTACACAAATAAAATATTTCGTGTACAATTTTTCTTGAAACAAATAAATTTAAAAATTACATATTTTTTTTGAAATAAATTATTTTAAAAACTTACAACATTCTATATTAGGATCTGCCACAACTTTTCGATCAGTATACTGTCAACATGTTCTTGAACACGTAATTCTGCATATTCCCAATCCTACAAGCATATTAAAGCCTCTAATATATCTTCTTTTAATCTTAAACGTTCGTCTGATAAAATTCGACCACCTAAATTGAATGCAGCCTCCGATGCTACTGTAGACACCGGAGATGTTGGTAGATCAAGTGTAATTTTTGATACAATTGAATATTGTCTTTCATTACACCTCCACCAATTTAGGAGACTAAATTCCTGCAATTATTTTTCAGGTAATACACTACGAACGTCCACACACATATACTTAGCTAACTCAGAGGGAATTTCTATATTTCTACCACCGACATTTATCACTCTAGACATTGATGAACTAAAACTAAATAAGGGAACACTTGTATTACTTTCCAAATAATTCTATAAATTATCTGAATTTGTTGAAATATTTCTTGAACAGGAACTTTGGGAAGTAGAACTACACTGACTTTCTTTTTCAGCATAATAATTATACATTTCACATAACATAGATTCTATATTCACAAGTGATAATTCCACATTCATGAAATTTGAAATTCCCTTGTGCCATTCAAATTAAGTCGAGAGTTCACTACTGAAACTAAAATAAATAAAGAAGGCAATTCTTCCTAATATTTACGAAATTTTAACTCCATAGAGCAAACTAAGTCAAAAAAAAAAACGGCAAACTCCTGTATTTGTGAAATGTAGAAAAAATATTGTGAAACAAGTGAAGATGTAGAGTAATAAATTCAACTACATTCCTTTGTAACATCAAAAAAAGATTTTAAAAATTTTTTCACGTGAAATGCAAGCGACTATTCCCAATCTTCTAAATTATGTTCAGATCCGTATGTATGCCTATCATTATAATATAATGAAATCACTTTATCGTAATTTTCACACGAATGTAACATAAGATATGTGGAGTTCCATCTATGTGTTACATTAGTGGCGAATGATTTCTCCTGTAGGCCATACACTGCATACAAATTGTTAAATGTTTGCTTTATTGTTGGTGACACAGTAATAAAATTTATTGCTTGTCTAATTTTATCTAAATGAAAAGTTATATGTTCCAATCCAATTTTTACAATCAAATTGATAATATGACATAAACAACGTTGATGAAAAAATAAAGTTCCAAATGTAAGGTTAAGATCATTAATAAATATTTTGATAACACCTTTGTTCACACTAGCATTATCAAAAGTAAAATTTCGAACCATATCTTGCATACCATATTCCTGTATGATATCTTTTACAACCATGTATATATTAGTGGCATTATGAGGATATTCTACACATCTAAATACAATAATTCTTTTATGTAAAAGCCACGAATGATCAATATAATGAGTCATAGCAGCAATATAACATTTTCTACTACCACTGGTCCATAAATCAGATGTAAATGATATTACACTATTAAAATTTTTTAGATCTTCAATAACAACTTGTTTTCTTTTGTTATATAATTTTATAGTATCCGAACGAAGAATATTTCTAGAATAAGAAGAATACCTGGGTTGGAAATATTTCTGCATGAGCCGGGTAAAATGTACTGAGTCTATCATCGTAAGCAGCATCTCTGTTGCAGCCATGTATGTAGTCATTCCTTCACGAAATCTTTCCTGTGATTATACGAAGGTGGAAAGATTATAACAAGAACCTCCAAACACTAGTTCGGTTTATTTTGGGTCAAGATCGACTGGTTTTACTTTGTAACTCCTTAATATGTGTCTACTCAAATGCGTTGTGCCCGAACTGGGCTTTCAGCTAAGTTCTTTGTCACAATAATCGCAACATGCTTTCCAAATATCTACTCCATTTTGAATACTAATTTTTTTATGTGTCATATGTTGCCAATAATCCAATGATTCTTTTTTCGACCTTTTAACTTCGAGTACTTCTTCCTCTTTAATATTCTCCAAATCAATTGAAACATTTTGAGATGCATCATTGTAACCAGATGGAGTACTCGAGCTACCCTTAAACTGATTAAACTCATCACTAGTAAAATTCATTTATATATAGTATAGTATAAAATACTGAATATTAGAGTGAAAAAATTGAATATTAGATTGAGAGTAAAGAAATTGAAGTTGAAACTTGAATCTATAATATTGCAAGTTAAAATCAATAGAAAGAAATTGATTTGAAACTTAAAATTTTACCTCGTATTTATAGCCAAAAAAATCTATTTTATCTCCAAATTTGAAATTCAAATTGGAATTTTGAATTTGAGATTTTCGTAGTCTCGTAAATTAAATTGTAAAAAAAAGTAGAAGAGCCATAAGTATCAGTAGTTCTAAAGCTGCTTGTAACGGCAGCTTTATAGCTAGCAACAGTCAAGCTTTGCTGCCGTTACAGACAGTTAAACTGCTGCCGTTATAGGTAGCTATAAAGCTGCTTGTAACGGCAGCTTTTATAGCTGCCTGTAATGGCAGCATTATAGCTCCCTAGGCTGTTGCCTTAAGGTAGCTATTATTCTTGATTTTGTGTATAATTTTTTTAAAATTAATTTCGAGCATTGTCAGGGGCCATTTTTGGCTCGTGACATGAGTCGGCTCGTGTAGCTCGCCGAGCCACAATGGGCTGGCTCGGGCTCAGGCCAATGCCCCAAGATTTGGCTCAGCCTGAGCTTAGGCTTGCTCAATCCAAGCTACGAGCCGGGATGGCTCGGGCTTTTCCCAAGCCGAGGCACTAACCTCTCGTCAAAGCCATAACGAGCTGGCTCGGGCTAGGGTCAAAGCCCCAAAATGGGGCTCAGCCTGAGCCTAGGCTCGCTCAATCCAAGCTAGGAGCCGGGATGGCTCAGGGTTTTCCCAAGCCGAGCCACGAGCTGCCCGAGCCATCGAGCCGGTTTGACATCCCTAATATTGACCTATGTAATAGGCTGGTGTAAAATGGTAATGGTTACTAAGCTAATGGATAATGGGCTGTTTGTTGGATGTCGATTGCTATTTTGGGTAGTGACCAGGTTAAGGTTAATGTTGGGCCTATGTGGTGGAATTGGATTAGGCTTGGGTTGGGTTAGTAAGTGGTTGTAAAGATTTATTTTGAGCAAATTAGGCCCGTACGGCTTGGGTGTTGTAAAATTGATTAATGCAATTAACCTTTTCATCCTTTTCTTTTTACGTATTAATTACGATGTAATAAAGGAAGATATTCAAACCCCTCCTTTCTCAATCTCTCATCTCTCTGTCCCAATTCATCATCTCTCACTGCCTTCCTAAAACTTCCCTTCGCAACTCACTCACTAATCTTGTTACCATATTGCCACCCCTTCTCAATTCTCTCCTACTTAGACCCATCGAAGATTACCAAGCTAGCATGGGTCAACTGGGCTATCGGGCAATCGCCTCTGCAGATTTTATTTGTGTCCACAAATTGCCCTCCAAATACCCCTTTATTTTAGAAAAAATTGCAGCAGTGGTCACTACCCTTTCAGTTTTTATAGATTTTAACCTAACATTCACTTTGTGCTATCCACGGTCTCAAACTTTTCAGAAATATGCATCTGTAGTCCAAACGGATGGAAATAGTCCGTTTTGACTGTTAGTTGACCAATAAAATTGAAATTTGACCAATTTTTGACCAATTTAAAAGGGTAAAAAGATAACTTTGCTACAATAAAAACAATTAAAATAATAAATAACTAAAACAAAATTAAAGTAAAAAGAAAAAATTGTTCATCTCCTTCTTCAACCTACGCCACAGTCCAAATCCACTGCCCAAAACCACCACCGTTCTTCAACAAAGAATACCACCCAAATCCCCCACCATTTCCTTGAGCGTAACAATGGCGTCCCGATTTATTGATTATACTTCTCCTATGAGATCAGCTACTTACTTCATAAGTAAGAAATGCCAGACGTGATGGTCTATCCGTAAAAACGATATCCGTATCTCGTTATTACTTACGACCACGGATGATTTAAGATTTCAATTAGATGTAATTTGTATCTCACAATCACAACTCCTTGTGATTAACAAATTACGAAGATTTGAATTTTCGGACTCTATTATTTATTTAATTGTTTATTAATTAAATAATAGATCTACCATTAAATTGCATTAATTATATATCAAAAGTATTCATGTCCAAAGTTGATTGGACCTAGGGCATAATACTTACAAACTCCCACTTGTATTAGATCCAATCACTTATTTGTCCAATATCATAAGTCTACATGACGATCATGTTTATGCTACGACAAGTCTTTATCAGTGGATCTGCAATATTGTTAAATGTGGGAATTTGTTCTTCTCTTTACGTCATTTCTATGTATTATCTCTCTTATGAGATTATACCGCCTTAATACATGTTTGGATCATTGATGAGACCTTAGTTTCTTCGCTTTCGCAATGGCTCTATTGTTATCACAATACAATGG